CATTGTTTTTACCCAAGCATGGATTTCTTGTGATCCCCCCCAGCCCCCTAACATTGTTCCTTATGTTCTTTAAACTATAATTATATCTGATCACATCTAACAATTGTATCATTTATCATATTCAGATTACACAGGTGCTGTTTGACCTGATCTTTAGCAAGTACAAGGCCTAACATTTCTCAGGGCCTACTTTTCCCAGGGCTTTCCCTAACTTTCTTTCTAAGTCTCCGAATTTTCCAAGATTTTAGAACCTTTTACTATCATTCCCCCCTTTGAAAGCATTTTCACTTCACTATAAGTGCAAATGTTTTCACTTGATAGAGTCCTTTGTTTCTGAGTTGATACTTGCTGTTCTTCGAATCCTTGATTGATGTAAACGCTGTCCTGGATGTTGTCACGAACTGGAGAACCAGAAGATGGAGGGTGTGGGTCTCGTGTCAGTGCCTTTATTATTTTCTGATTCCAGGATGTTTTCTTCTGTATTTCTCCTTTTAAAATGCTGTAAACTAACCAAATTGCTAAAAATACAATTAGTAAGATTATCACACTCTCAATGATAGATTTAATCCATGAACTCACATTCTACCCTAACCCTTTGAAGATTTTGCCTAACCAACATGTGGTCAAATCCTTTTGCTCTTCCTGTGCTCCATGCTCTGTTTGTTGCAACTGATTGATGTCATATTCTACATCTGCAGTCACATTTGGGATGTGGATGCAGCAATGATCAATCCATCCCCTTAAAAAAAACCACACTCCATGTTCTTTCAGGAGTAGCAAATCTAAGGCAAATCAATTTTGTAAAGTCATTTTTGTGATGGCTTGTAATTGTACATTTAGTTCTTTAAATCTTTCCCAGGTGACTTTTGCTAGTCTATTTACCTGACCTATTTCTCTATTCTGATAATTTGCTATAGGACCGAGCAAAGACTCTAGGGCCCACCCAAATCTCACTTCACTAGATGGTTCTTGCTAAGTGTCATCTTGATTCTATTCCTATCTTAATCCTTCCTAGCTTTGCCTGTGTCTAGCCACTGAGTTGATTTTGCCATTGTTAGCATCTGTACTGAGATTAATTTTTGCTTTAGCAATTTTACCAATGCCTGTGCACCCCAGGGACATTTGTTCTGTTTAATTTGTAGAACTTCTCTCATTATCAAGGAGGTTAACACTATTTGTCTTCATGCAGTTACATACCACTCTTTTAAATCCTTTTGTGCATTTAGAAAATGTCCCAGTTTCTCATCTTCTATTGAATATTTTGGTTTTGGAGGCAAATTAAATTGAGATACATTAATCTTTAAAGGTATCAATGCCATTGTTGTTTGCACTTCTCGAGCAATCTGTCGGGCTGTCCAGTCTGCTTTTTGATTTCCCTTTACTCAATTCTAGTGTTCTGGTTAAGGCAACCAGTTCTGCCCTCTGGGCAGATGTATTTGCTGATAATGCTTTTGCCTCCACAATTGTACTGACTGTTGTTACCGCATATCCAGCGTATCTGGTCCTGTTCTCCACCAAGCTGCTTCCATCTGTGAATAGCTCTCACTCTGGTTGCTCCAGTGGGATGTCTTTCAGGTCTTCTCTTGCTGAATAGCTGTACTCTATTACTTCTACACAGCCATGCTCTAATGGGCCTTCTTCAGTTGTGGTACCTGGGAACAAAGCTGGATTCAAGAGGTTAGTTGTCTTTAGTGTGACATCATCCTGCTCAGTCAGGATTGCCTGGAATTTCATCATCCTGCTTGGAGATAGCCAATGGCTCCCCTTTTGTTCGAAAACAGAGCTCACCATGTGTGGCACATAGACATCTATGTGTCTACCCATCGTGAGTTTCCTAGTTTCTTGTGGCAGCATCACGGTGGCTGGAACTGCCCACAGGCACGAAGGCCATCCAGCACTCACGTGGTCAAGTTGTTTGGAGAAGGAGCTTACCAGCCTTTTCCAGCTTCCCAAACCTTGGGTCAGCACTCCCTGTGCTAGGTGTAGTCTTTCATGCACAAACAGCTGAAAATCTTTGGATAGGTCAGGCAATCCTAATGCTGGAGCTGTTGTCAATGCCTCCTTCAGTTTGAGGAAGGTCTCCTCCTGTGGTTTGCCCCAGGTAAACGGCTGTGTCTTGTGGGCTTCATTCAGGGGTTTTGCAGTTAGTCCATAGTCCATGATCCACAGGCAGCACCATCCGCACATCCCGAGGAAGACTCGCAGCTCATGCAGGTTCTGGGGTTCTGGAATGGCACAAATAGCTTGAATATGATCAGTACCCAGCTTTCATTGCCCTTGTGAGATTTCACATCTCAGGTAAATCACAGTCTGCTGGGCAATTTGTGCCTTCTCTTTAGACACCTTATATCCTCTCATACCAGCTGATTTAAAATTTCAATTGTTACCTTTATGCAGGTTGTCTTTTCCTCTGTAGCTATCAGTATATCATCAACATACTGTCACAGCAGGTATTGCTCCCTCAGAAATTTCCCATTCTCAGTCCAAATCTCCAGCTCGTTAACCAGCTGGCTTCCAAATAGGGTTGGACTGTTCTTGTATCCTTGTGGGAGTCGTGTCCAGGTGAGCTGGGTTTTCCTTCCATTGTCTAGATTTTCCCACTCAGAGGCAAACAGTTTCCTACTTTCTTTGTCAAGGGGTATGCAGAAAAAGGCATCTTTTAAATCAATTACAGTAAACCTTTTCTATTCCTCTTTCACAGATGTCAACAATGTGTAAGGATTAGATACCACTAGGTAAATGTCTGTAGTTATTCCATTTATTTCTCTCAAATCCTGTACTAGTCTGTACTCACCATTTGGTTTCTTCACTGGAAATACTATTTCCAGTGTATTAAATTCTGATTCACATTCTTCTAGAATTTGGTACTTCAAAAATTTATCAATAATCTTTACTATTCCGTGCTGTGCTTCTGTCTTAATGAGATACTCTTTAACCTGCACAGCTTTTGCTCCTTCTTTTAATTCTACATGTACTGGTTGTGCCAATTTAGATTTTCCTGGTATGTCTGTTTCCCATACAGAGGGAATTACTGCATCCTCTACTTCCTGAGGGATAGCAGGGACTGGTTTTTCTTTTATCATTAAAATTTGTCCTGTCTTTGATTCAGGTATTATTCATTAAAAGTTCCCCACTCTCAAAAGTCATCACTGCATCAAATTTTGCTAATAAATCTCATCTTAAAAGTGGAAATGGACACTCAGACATATATGAAAATTCATGTGTTGAAACTTTGTTTGCAAAACACAAATCCAGGGGTTGCAGGAATGGTCGATTCTCCTCCTTCCCTGCGGCTCCAACTATTGTTGCTGTTTTGTCTCCAATTTGCCCTTTTAGATCATTTAGCACAGAATATGTAGCCCCTGTATCCACCAGAAATTTTACTTCTTTATCTCCCAATTGTATAGTTACTAAAGGTTCCTGTATTGGTTTTTGTTCCGATTCTAGTCAGCTGCTGTACTCCCCCAGCACCATTAATTTCAAAGTGTCTTGATTATGGTTGAACTGATTGCCCTGGTTAAACCAATACAGGCATTCATTTTTCCAGTGCCCCTCTTGTCTACAATAAGCACATTGATTTAACCCTAATCTTGGCAAAACCAATCTCCCTTGTCCTCTGCCAAGTCCGCCCCTCCCCAGTCCACGACCACCTCTGCCGCGTCCTCTGAAACCTGGATTCTCTCTTCCTTGGATCACTGCCAAAAGATTTGGCTGCTGTTTTTTTACTAGCTTCTTTTGCCCTCTTACTGTATACTTTCCAAGCCACTTCAAGTAATTTATTCAAATTCTTTAATTCCTCTCCCTCTAACTTCTGCAATTTTCTCCTAATATCATCCTGTGACTGCCTAAGAAAAATGAACACAAGCTCAACTTTCTCTTGTTCTGTTTCTAGTTGAAGATCTGTATCCTTTCTCACTGCCTCCTTAAGCCTTTCCAAAAATGCAGCAGGGGATTCTTTCTTTTCCTGTCTTACCTCATACAATTTAGACCAATTCATAGCCTTAGGTATAGCATTCCCAACCCCTGTCTGGAGCCACTCTTGATATCTCTTCAGCCTCCGCATGTCCCCAAAGGCATTGGGATCCCACCCTGGATCCCCGGTCAGAAAGTTCTCATCTAAAGTCCCTGTCACCACCCTAATTCTGAGATCTTCTCTCACCTTCTTCTTGGCTGCTCTAAGCATCATCTCTTTCTCAGCAGAGTCCATTAAATTATCCAATATTACTTGTATATCTTCCCAATCTGCATTCTGAGTTTTCATAATCATTTTTACCACCCCTGCTACTTTATCAGGATTTTCTCTCTAAGTTCCAGCTGATTGTTTCCAAATTATCAAGTCTGCAGGGGAGAAAGGCACTTTTACAAACACCAGCCCCTCTACTCCTACTCCTTGTCTCAAGGGGGCAATCACAGTCCACCTTTGTCTGCCCAAATCTTTTCCCGTTCTGCCCAGAACCGGAGCAAGCTGTGACCGAGTCCGATGGGACACCGGTGTCACTGATTTATTCTCATCACCCCCGCTACTGCTATCCTCCTCCCCAGCATTTTTCACATTTCCTTGTATCACAGTTAGATCTTGATCATCTCCTGGAGAAGAAGGATCAGGTGAAGGCGGTAGAGGAGGATAAAGAGGGAAAGGTGAAGTGGGGTAGGCGAGATAGGGTTAGGGGAAATAGGATTGGGTGAAGTGGGGGCAGACAAAACAGAATCAGGTTCTTTTGGTTCTGCTGAAACCACTTGAAAATCAACATCCATCTCTTTCCCCTGACACAAACTTTCTTTTAATGCCAGGTGCTCTAAACAACTTTTCCTTTTACACAAACCTCACATTTATCACTCACTCATGCTTTAACTGCCATCAGTCCACACTCAGCCTGCCATTCTGGCTTGTCTCGCAAATAGAAAAACAAATCTACATATGGAACTTCATCCCACTTTCCCTCTCACTTACAGAACAACATCACCTGTAAAATGGTGTTACACTGCAAAGATCCATTTCTTGGCCACTTTTCCCCACTGTCCAGGTCATATCCTGGCCACCAGGTATTACAATAATCAGTCAACTTTACGTAAATCTTGCCCAAAGTTTCCCTGTTTCCAATGTGCCAATAAGCACCCCAAAGGAGAAGTACGTGCTATAGGGGCATTGCCACCTCAAATCCCTTTAAGCTTCTCCATGTTACAGTTACAATACACCACACACCACTGATGCCGAACCTGCAACGCTTTCGCACTTGTCTGACAGACGGCGCCTGGGCAATGCCAGGAATTCCTCCAGCCCAACCCTGCGGAGATTTCGCTGCGTCTTATCGGCAGGCACCAGAGCAGACCGAAAAGCACCTCACCTCTCTCAGAGGGACGTTGTGAGCAGAGGAGACGGTCACGGCCGGATGGGCTCCCCGAGAATCCCTCGGTGCCGGCTGGAGCGTGATCGGGTCATGAACTCGCTCAGCAGCACTCACAGGGTCCCATCTGGGTCACCAAAATGTCAGCGTTCAGGAACACACATAATCACAGATTGATTATATGCAGGTGCTTTATTGAAGGGTGTGGGAACTAGGGGTATCAGCAACCCAAATCTAGCTCCATCATCTTTGTCCAAAGTGCACATATTTATACAATTTCAGCTGTAGCAGTAATCACTATAACAAACTTATCAATATTGCTTCATTAATATTGCATCATTAACTTGATTGATATTGCTTCATGAGAGTTAGCTCATCCTTGTAGGAACATGTACGAATCTTATCTCTGGGTGGGCATCTTGGAGAACCCAAGCACCAGTTCCTGTTACCGTAAACATTTCAGCTTGCTAGACCATCCCTAATACCAAACATTCTTGTGATGAATTCTACATGATTTTCAGAAACATTATTCAGAGACATTTAACCCCACAGTAACAGAAGGACCAAGGATCCACTGTGACACTGCAGGGCCCACCAAGGATCCACTGTGGCTCCACGGAGTGTCATGGAACCGTGGAGACCATTGTGACACTGCAGGGCCTCATGGAACCATTCTGACACCAAGCTGGCTGGGAGTGTGGATGTGCTGGAGGGCAGGAGGGCTCTGCAGAGGGAGCTGGACAGGCTGGATGCAGGGCCCAAAGCCAACAAGGTGA